TATATATATATATATATATATATATATCAAATGTCTTAGAAATAAAGTTAAATAATTTTTTTTATGATATCTGATGGAAATGAAATTGTGGTAATCGAGAAAAGACTTTTTATACATTATTAAAAGATTCATCAAAACAAGCATGGATTGAATGGAACATTTAAATTAGAATTTATAGAATTAAATTCATTATGTACAAACTGTCATTGTAACGAATTTATGGTCAAAACAAATATTTTAATGTGAGAGACCTAATTGGCATAAAAAAAAATTTTGCATGATTCTTGAGATGATTTTTTTTTAATAAAAAATATTCAAATTTCAATTAAGAGTCATTCTGAGTTCAGATTTCAACAAACTTCCAGATAAATTAAGCGGCTCGATGAAACGAACCCAATTATATCAAAATTAGTTTAATCTGAGTCAAATCAAGCTTAGATCAAGTCAGTAAACCACTCTTAGAAGTTTTCCAGACATATTTATAAGGTCAAACAAATGTCGAATCTAGCAAGCCTATAGTCGAATCGAGCATCTTAACCAGAAGAATCCAACGAGCCCACGATTGCTCAATTCTGACATCATTAAGACACTCAAATGCCCATCAAATACCGTTTGATTGAATGAAGCTCTCCGGACCGTCTAATTAAAGTGATCCATATTTTTGCATAAATTGCACCCAAAACACTATGAATAGAGCCCCACCCAGGAGGAGGAGAGCTTGAGACTGGAGAAAGAACTTGAAGCTTTGAGAAAGAGCTAAAGTCTAGCACCACTCCTGCCATCGTCGATCACCATCGACCGCCATTAACCACCACTGACCATCATCGATCATCGTTGACCACTGTTAACAACCGCCGACCGCCGTCAACCACCATATGTCGTCCTCCACAGATCGTCATCGGCTGAGGCCCCCTTCTTACAACAAGTTCATTCACACGTCGACGTTGTAATTCAAAAAACTTTGTAACCCTTTTCCCGCCTGTGGGATAGGGGGTTTCTGTAATCATCAAATTATAGTATTTTTTTACAACTAGGTCAGACATTGTGGTTTTTTCCCTTTACGGGTTTTCCACGTAAAAAATTCTTGTGTCACTACTGTTATTTTCTTTTATCTCTGTGTGTGTGGAATTCTCGTGCAACACTAAAATGATAATTCATTATTCTACTGCCACAAATTTTCTAGCACATATTAGTTTAACGCCGTTTGTTGGAAGCGAAGTCCTGTTTTCAACTCTAAGTTACTGAGCCCCCACTTCGTTTCCTAATGATGTACATCATCCCTGGCGAAGGAACAATCTTTACATCTTGAAAATCTTCTCTAAAGCATTCTTCAATGTGAGAGACAACCTTCACTGCAGTCTCGAAAAGTCTTTCACGTTAACATATATGGCATGATTGTAGCTGGTTTATCTTCTCACATTTTATTTAGACACAAAGTCTAACATAACTTCTTTTAGACTGAGAGGCAATCTTCACTATAGTCTCGAAAGGTCATTTATGTTAACGCCCCGGGCATGTCTGTGTTAGGGTATTCATCCCACATTTCATTCACCAACAAGGCTTTGAAAATCGCTCATAGAGTGGGGGCAATCTTTGTCGCAAAGGATGCTTTCATAACTCCCCCTCACCGTACTGAAGTTCTCCTTCAACTAGTCAAGAAGTTGATCTCTTCAAGGCTCGACTGTGGGGCAAAAGATTCAAAAGCATCAACTAACGAATTATTCTTGAGTATGACTGCAACCATATTTCCAAAAAAACATACGGGTCATTGCAACCTACACCCTAGTCTCGAAAAATGCAGAGCATCTCTGACACCTTATTATAGGCTTAATCGATCACAGGGGGACTCGATTTGACCTCTTCCATCACAAGTTACAGTCATCAAATGAAAGCTTCAACATACAGACTCAGATAGATAAAAATTCTTTAGTGGATTTTCTTCAACATCTTTCATAATAGATTACGGTCATCAAGTAAAAGTTTTGACCAACAACCTAAGATAGGTTAACCTTCCTCAGTGGAATTTATATAGCTTTGTTCGTTACGAGTTAATACCGGCGAGTATCTTTAGTTATACAACTCAGAATTGGTCTTACATTATTAATGGATTGTCTTTTCAACCATGCCTCTGAAACTCAAGTTAAGAGGCATAACTCGATAGGAAGATCCGACGCCACTGAAAATTGACCCCAAGAGGCAGAACTCAATGTGAAGCTACGATGCTCCTAGAAGACAAGCCCATAAAGAAAGTCTCGATAAGAAGCTATCATACTCCTGAAAGTCAAGCCCAAGAGACAAAAATCAATGGAAAGATCTGGTACCCCTGGAAGTTGAGCCTAGTAAGCAAGACTTGATGGGAAGCTACGGTGCTCCAAAAAGCCAAGCCCAGGAGGCAAGACTTAATGAGAAGCTTCCATGCCTCGGGAAAATCCAAAGATGAGCCCAAGAGGCAAGTTTCGATGGGAGGCTAGTATTTGACAGGCTCCTCACTAGAAAGACTCTACAAGAGCAAGTGATTGACAAGGTCTCCACTGAAAGATCTTAGAAGGCTACAAGCCTCAAAAGACATATATATAAAACACCTTAGAAGGGTACACGCTTCAAAAGACACGGACACATAAAAGACCTCAGAAGGCTATGAGGTGCAGAAGGTACTGGTTCATTTTGAGATTTATATGCTATACTTCCGGCACAACCTCAGAAGGCATGAGCCTCAAAATGTATGCAATTATCCATTTTATAAACTGTGTTCATTAACTTTAATTGCAAAATTTTGTACAATTGAGAATCCACAACAACCTCAGAAGCAACATCAAAGATGTATAAAAAATACATTATCATCATTATACATGTTACATCAGATGATTAAAAAGGCTATAAAAATAATAAAAATGAGTATAAAGGTTACAAGAGATATCGCTGCTACAGAAGCATGAAAATTTTTCCTTCAAAGCGTAACAGAAAAACTCTAGCATTTCTTCATCTCCACTGAAATGTGCAGCGACAGCAAGTAAGAAGATCCCGAGTCACCTGTTGGGTAGGGACAAAGATAACCTTCTTCATCTCACCGATGCGAAAAAAGATCTCGTTGTTCACCTGCTACGTAGGATGGGGACGCATTTCCTCTTCGTCGCAACGTGAAATAAGATTTCGTTGCTTGTCTGTGACACAGGATGAGGACGACTTTCAACTTGGTTGCAACATGAAAAAGATCTCGTTTCTTGTCTGTTATGCATGACAGAGATGACATTCTTCTTTGTCGCAACGAGAAAAAAGATTCTATTGATCACATGCTACACATGACAAACAACTTTTCTATTTGTCGCAACATGAAACCACAATGTGAAACAAGATCTCGTTGCTCGTCTACTACACAAGACGGGGACGACTTGCAACACGGAAGATGATCATGTTGCTCGCTTGCTGCTCAGAACAGAGTCGACTTTTCTCTCACTGCAATGAGAAAGAAGACACAGTTGCTCGCTTATTATGCAAGACTGAGACGACTTTTCTCTTGATCAAAACACGAAAGAATATCATGTTGCTTGTCTGCTACGCAAGACAAATAAAACTTTCCCCTTTGTTGCAACACAAAAGAAGATCTCGTTGTTTTCTTGCTACGCAGGCCTGGAACAAATTTTCTCTTGGATGCAACATGAAAGAAGATCTAGTTGTTCGCCTGCAATGCAGAACTGGGACGACTTTTCTATTAGATGCAACACGAAAGAAAATCATGTTGCTCACCTACTACGCAAGATGAGGATGACTTTCCTCTTCGTCGTAACATGAAAGAAGATCTTGTTGCTTACCTGATACGCTGGATGGGGACGATTTTTCTTTTGACCACAACACGAAAGAAGATCTCGTTGCTCGCCTACTTCGCAGGACGAGGACATCTTTCCTCTTGGCCACAACGAGTAAGAAGAATTTGTTGCCCGTGTTACTACGAAAGATGGGGACGACTTTCATCTTATAGAAAATCTCCTTAGCATAAGACCCACTCTCCACTCTTCCTCTTTTGCCTCCTTCTCCTCACTTGTTGTTCTTTCTTCCATTCATGGCTTCTATTTATAGGCTTAAGAGAAGACACAACATTAAAGACAATAATTAAAAAAATTTAAAATTTACATTCATTTTGCCTTTTCGGTTTCTAGCTTTTGGTTTTCCGGATTTTTCA